TTTTTTTTTTGTTCTGGGGATTGAATTTACATCCTCGTGCTTATAAGGCAGGCAGTGGATCCACTGAGCTAAATCCCCAGCTAGTCTGTTTCTTTTGATTGATGAGTTGAGCCCATTTAATTGATGATTATAACTGAAATATATGGGCTTATGCTTTTCATGTTATTGTCCTGCTGTTGGTTCCCTTTGTTTCCCCTCTGTGCAATTGCTTGCCGTGCCTGGTGGCTTCTTTTTACTGATATTCTTGGAGTTGTGGTCTTCATTATCTTTCTAAAATATCCTTCAGGGCACTCTGTAGAGCTGATTTAGTGGTCATGAATTTCTTCAGTTGTTCTTTGTCATAGAAGTATCTGATTTGTCCATTGAATTTGAATGATAGTTTTATAGTGTACTGCAATCTGGGCTGGAAGTTGTTTTCTTTCAGAACCTGGAATACCTCACTTCAAGCTCTCCTTGACGTAAGGGTTTGTGTTGAAAAGACTACTGTGATTCTGATGGGCTTTCCCTTGTAGGTGATTTATTTCTTTTTTTCCCTTTTATTGAGTTTATTGGTACATTTAAGGTATACAGTGCAATTACGTTCATTATTGGGATCATGTACCTTTACATGACAGGTCTTGGTTCAAATTTTTCCCCTTGTTTGTGCCCTCCCAATTTATTTATTTTTTCTAAAAGCTTTTAGTGCTCTGTTCTTCTGTTACATTTCTGAGATCTTGAAAATTATATGCCTTGGCATAGATTTATTTTGTTTCTTGCATATCAAATTATTTTTCCATGTTTGGGAAATTTTCTATCAATACCTTTTTTTTTTTCTTTTTTGGTACCGGCGATTGAACTCGGGTCCTTGCGCTTGCAAGGCAGGCCACGGAACCGCTGAGCTAAATCCCCGGCTACCAATACCTCTTTGAACAGGCTTTGTATGGCCTTTGCACTACCTCCAACTCTCTCACTGACCCCAATCAATCTAATATTGTTCTTTTTTGTATCATGTTGCAATTGTTGGATTGATTTTTCATGGTCCCTTACCATTTTTAAGATAGCTTTCTTTTCATGGTTGTTAACTGTGTTCCTGTCTTCTAATTCAGAGATGCTGTTCTTACTTTCATTTAATCTATTGTTTATACTTTCAATGGGATTTTTAATCTCCTCAATATCTGTTTGACTCTGTTTTATGAATTCTGTTTCTTTCCTGTGTTGGGCATTCATATTTCACTAATTTTCTTAATCTCCTCTATTATTTATCTCTATCTATTCTAGATTCATTGAGCATGTATTTCCTTTTAAACCTTTATTTTTTTACCTGAGATATTATTTTCTCTGTGACCTTCTTTATTTGTTTTCTGAGTTTGTCTTCTGTCATCTCAGAAAAATCAGGTGGGTGACTTCTGATTTCCTCTATCTTGTTGTATCCTGGACTTGTCCTAGGTGCATTGGAGGTCTGGGATTGTATTTTGCTCCTGAGTCTTGTCATTTTCTATTTTAAAAAATTTTACTATATTTTCTGTGTTGATGCTTATAAATTTCTTACGACAGACAGCTTTATCAGTATAAGCAAGGCTTCTGGAAATGTCCATTTTTCAGACATATATCTATTATGTCTTCTGGGTATATGTGATTCTTGTTTTTTTGTTTTGTTTTTTGTCTGTCTTAAGTTCCAACTGTCCCAATTTATTAAGGATCAGAATTTGCTGCTTGGCTCAGCACCTAAATCTTTTGTTACTGAACTATGGTGGTGTTTATGACCCAAGATAATCTCAGTGTTGTCATATAGGGGAGAACAACTAAGTATAAATAGGACAACCTGGCTAAAGTAGTACAACTAGCAATATCAGTAGCCTCGAGCAGCCTAGAAATTGACAAATTATAACTATTAATTTGGTACCTTTATCCATAAGAGCAAGGTCTATACCTCATTCAGAAGACTTATTTGGTGTGTATAGCCAAAACCTTCAACAACCACCAAGTGATGCAAGTTGTTTATTAATTGTCACGTATTTACATGATGTATAAATTCCTTGACCATTCAAAACAAAGCTTTTGATAAACAAGAAAATAGCAGCCAGATTTTTTTCTTTGGTGAATTTTTTGTTGTTGTGAAAATGTAGGTAATTTTGAAAGAAACCATATCTCTTGAGTGTCATTATTGTGCTAAAAATCTCAATGCCACATCTGTCACTTCTCCATAAATCTTTTAGACTTTGATAATTAGAATAATAAATTCTTGCTATGATGGCTGGCAGCAGTGAGATGTCATGATAATGATAAATATATTTTCGTGTATTACTTATTTTACTTTTATTTCATTATTACTGTATTAGTGTATTTTATAGCATATCATCCATTACAATTTCAACATGTAATTGCAGTACTGGCAATCTGTCCAATAGGTTCCACTCCTGGCAATGAGCTAGAAACATTTTCTGACCTAGTTCTAATGTTGGATGATTCAGGTATATATGACCATTTTGTAACATTTTGACTAGTCAAATGTTTATTTACATTACTGTTTTCTTCTTCACATGAATCAAGGCCTTCATTCTGTACTTCTCTATTTGTCATATCTTGTTAACTTCTTTGGTTTGCATGATCCAAGTCATCACTGGTAGCTGCCTCACCTGTTGACTCACTTCCAACCTCCTCCCAAAATTGTAAAAGCAGATTTCATGTGACATTGTACTGAATTGGGCTAAATCTACATGAAAAAATCAAAAGAAACCATGTAATAAAATTATAAATACACAAAATATAGCATGATGCACAGTGTGGATAAAATTCACCCATTTACAGTTTGACACATGTGCAAATACTTTGCCATTCATCATCCCAAGTGGGACGCTCAAAGATTGCTTCTTGTGTGTTCCTCCAGCACAGCTAATGAGACACACAGCCATCTACTATTATGCTAAAATGCATATTTTTATTGGAAATATATGCTTAGGTGTTTTTTACACACCATAGTGCCCCTTGGTTAAAGAAATCAGGAAAACAATTTATGATATTAATGAGAAATTCAATTTTAAAAATAATCATAAAAATAATGAGGGAGCCAGGAATGGTGGTGCACACATGTAATCTCAGCACTTGGAAGGCTGAGGCAGTAAGATCACTTTGAGTTTGAGACCAGCCTTGGCTACATAGTGAGTACAATGCAGTGAGCTGCATAGTGAGACTGTATAAAAAAGACCAAAAAAAAAAAATGAGTGACTTCTGGGTAAAATGGTGGAACAGAAGTATCCTTCTCATGACATGTGTGAGTGAGAAAAGTTAGCATTTTTAAAAAGGGAAAACTATATTCTAAGTAAGGGATAGTAGAAGCTCAAGAGAGAAGGAGAGAGGGGGCAGGGAGAGAGAGGAGAGAGAGAGAGAGAGAGAGAGAGAGAGAGAGAGAGAGCACCAAAGTAAAGAAAAATACAAAATATACTGGGGAGGGTAACAACCTGACTCTGCCAGCACCAGGTAAGCTCCAAAAAGGCCAGTAGCCCCAATGATACACAGTGGACTAAGCCCTAGCAATAGGAGAAACTCATGGTTATTGCAAGCTAGAAGTCTGCAATAGAGATTTACTTGTGCTTTGGAGAAGAAATACACTTCAGTGCTTGCCATATCTTGTAGTGGTACCACCGAGAGTCATCATGATAAGATGACTGAGCCACTTGGAGGACCAGAAATCAGGGAGAAATCACACTCGAGAGTCCCAGGGAACACTTTGCCACAGAGATTTGGTGGCAGACAGCCACAATAGACAGTCACGGAGAAAGGGATGATCAGTCTGAAACCTCCAGCAATTTAAGTAGCAGGCGGGATGGACTTTGGAGGGCAAGGTGGTTAGCTACACTGCCCTCTGATGGTGAAGAGCAAAATCCACCATGTATGATTTTCTGAAGGGGTTGTGGCTGAGTGTCGGAATTACTATACATTATTTTCAGGTCTTTCTTTTCTATTGTTATTGGCAGTATACCTGTTAGTTTTAATTGCAATATCTTTTTTTCTCTTTGTGTTGTCATTGTTACTGCAGTTTGTTTTCTTCTCTCTGAGTGGTGCTGGTGATTGAGCCCTCAAAAGAAAGCTGCTGACTAAGAAGACCCTCACATAAAAGTGGAACAGGTACTGTGGCTGTTAAGCTTTGTAGTGTTAACTTCATTGAATTGGGAATTGTTTGAGCATACTTCTGGAGGCATCTGGGTGGGTCATTGAGGTATGACCTTGCGGTCTATATCTGGTTGCTCACACCTTCCTCTTTGTTGCTACAATGCCTTTCAGCCACCATGAATTAATCGCTTATGCTTCATCACACCCTTATGTCATGATATTCCTGCCTTGGAGCCTGCTAATCATATCCTGAATCCTCTGAAACCATGAGCTAAATTAAACCTCTCCTCCTTTAAGTTCTGGATGTTGGATGTGGTGTCATAATAATAGTAAAGCTACTTAATACAGAAAATTGGCATCAGAGAAGTGTCATCGTTTTGACTGTATTTGACCATGTAGTTCAGAAGCCTTTGGAACTGGTTTGTGGGAGAAAGGTTTGAAGATGCAAGTTAAGGAAGCCTTACAACACTATAAGCAGAGCCTTGTGGATCATTCTGGTCAGAGCTCAGCCTGCTGGATAGTTCTGATCAAAGCTTGGACTAACAAGATGCTCACAGGAATGTAAACAGTAAAGGCTAAGATCAGCAGGTTTTAGTTGGAAAGGAGTACGTTGTTGGCAACTGGATTAGAGATGTTACACTCTGGCAAAAAAAAAAACTGTGCACATTTTGCACATGTCCTGAGACTTTGCAGGAGTCTGAGATTAAGGTTGGCAGCCTAATTGATTTGGTGGAGGAAATTCGGAGACAGAACAGTATTCAGGCTGCAGCATGAACACTACTGGCTGCTTTTAGCCAGATTTATAGTGAGAATTAAAGGAAAAAAGCAGAGTGGAAAAGATTGGAAAGACAAAATGTTTTAAGCCCATAAAGAACCATGTGTAAAGCTGGAGCCAAAACAGGTGTAGCTGCTGAAAAAGTTAGCTCCATTAAAAAGAAACTAAAAACTTTGTATATGGTTAAAAAGAAAGATGCCTAGATGGCATCTCAAAAATTAGCAAGACCCCATCATCACAAGCTCAAGGATGCAAATTTTCATTTGAGAAGAGGTCCTTGAGCCCCTTGCTCAAGAAGGGCTTCCTCAAGATTGACTTCACTTTGATCATCCATCAAAGCATCTAGAGACTACTGTAGCCATGGCCTCTGATGGCCTAGCTACTACTCCCATAGAAATTCGACATTGATATTGTCCATGTGATGCTAGTTTTACTGGCATACAGAATGCAAGAGTTGTGGAGTCAGAAAGGCTTCCTCCAATATTTAAAAGGAAGGCCTGGGAGACCAGGTAAGGGACCCCTGAAAGTATATGAAGCTATAGGAATAAAGCCAAAGGAGACCCCAGGAAGTTGAAGGTGCCAGGAATGTGGAACATCTTTTGAGGAAAGCCACAGGCTGTGAGCATAGCTAGACCAAGAGAGAGGCCACTTGGGTTGCAAACAACAAAGCCTTAGGGGTGGTGTTTCCCAGTCCTTTTTGGAATGACATCTCACTGATGTATGCCACAGGTGCCAGAAAAAGAGCTACGGGACTTAATGTTTGCCCTGCTGGGTTTTGGTTTATTCATTTTTATTCCCCTGTTCCTCTCTTTTGGAATGGTTAGGGTCACTGTATCTAGAGATCATGTAACTTGTTTTTTATTTTTGCAGAGGTTCGCAGATAAAGAGTTTGCCAAGAGCCTCAGAGGAGCTTTGGACTTGAACTTTTGAAAAGTGCTTAAATTCTTGAGACATTGGGAAGGGATTATTGGGTTCTTGGTTTTATGAATGATAGTTGCTACATGTTATGCAGAATTAATAACTTGTTACTGTGTTCCTTTGGAGATTAAGTGTAGTTCAAGATCTATTTGGTTGTCAGGTTGACAAAGGGTGAAATGTATTGGTTAAACTTGAGAGTGATAACTTGATAGGCCTTGGGATCTGCCCAGGGTATTGGTGGTGCACACTTCTGAGTGTGTCTGTGTAGGTCATGGAGGAATAAACTTGGAATCTATGTCTGGTCCCACATCCCTTCCTCTCTGGCACTGTTCTATTGCTTTGTTTTCAAGTCACCATGTACTAAGTATTTTGCTTCACCACACCCTCTGACATGATGTTTCTGCCTTGGAACCATCTGACCACGGGCTGAAACCTTTGAAATCATGATCAAATTAAACCTCTTCTTTAAGTTGTTGGTGTTGGATATTGTATCTCAGCTACAAAAAAAGCTAACTAACACAAATATCCATCAGAAGAGATGCAGAAATCTTAATATATATGAAAAAATGAAGAAACAAGATAAAACAACTCCTCCAAAGATTCATAACCTTTCAGTAACTGAGTCTGAAGATATTGAAATGGATTAAATACTGGACAAAGAGTTATAATTGATTTTTAAAATGACCAATCAGTTCAAAAAGAATAAAAATAAACAGGAATGAATTAGGGGAGATAATGCTGTGAATGAAAGAGTAATTCAACAAAAAGATAGAGATTCTGAAAGAACCATGCAGAAATCTTGAAAATGAAAAGCTCAGTAAGTCAAATAAAAAACCTCATCAAAAGCCTCACCAATAAACTAGATGAAGCAGAAGAAAGAATTTCATGGTTTGAAGAAAATATTGATATAAGTTATCACATTCAGACAAAAATAAAAATACGTATAACCCCAGCACTCAAGAGGCTGAGGCAGGAGGATCACCATGATTCAAGGCCAGCCTTGGCTACATAGTAAGTTCCAGGCCAAGCTGAACTACATAGTGAGACCCTGCCTCAAAAAAGAAGAAGAAGAAGAGGAAGAGGAAGAAGAAATTATGAGCAAACATCCGAGAATTCTAGGACAAGAGTAAAAGACTCTTTGTTATAGGGCAATAAGGGTACAGACTAAAGAAAAATATGATCTCTTCAGTGAGGAAATAACAGAATATATACCAATGTTAAGAAAAGAATGAGCATCCAGGTACGGGAGACATTTACAGTCCAAAGCACACATGATTTGAAAAGAACATTTCTTGTTTATGGCCATACCACCCTGAAAATGCTCAATCTCCTATGATCTCCAAAGCTAACTAAGTAGGATCAGTTCTGGTTGTACGTGAATGGGGAGAAAGAACTCCAGATCATAATATACTGATAGTTCCTCACGTACAGAGCAGGGAAAGTATATTGGATGCTGCAAGACAGAAAGACCAAGCCACTTATAAAGGCAACCACATCGCAATAGCTTTAGATTTTTCTCAGCAAAAATGCTGAAGGGCAGAAAGACTTAAAATGGTATATTTCAAGCCATGAAGGAAATATCTGCCAATCTACATTACTATATCAAAGAATGCTATGTTTTAAGATTTTAAAGAGAAATAAGTATCTTCCAAGTATTATTGAAGGAATGTATGGCCACTAAACGAGGATTGCCTAAGATACATAAAGGAATCCTACAAACAGAAGAGGCAGAATAGATAAGCAAAAGAGAATTAGGAAAATATCAAAAATTAGTTTAAAAAACACAAAATGACAGAAAGTAACATCCACCTTTCAATAATAACCTCATGTGTAAAAGGTCTTATTTTCAATTAAATACACATGCTGGCATATGGGAATAAAAAGAACTTTTTGAAAAAATACAATTGACAAATCTTCAGTCAACCTAACAGAGAAAAGGAGAAAAGTGAAATAAAAAGGAAAACGGAGAAATTTCAATCGACATCACAGAAATAAAAGGGCTAAAGGGCTATTATCAACAAAGATATGCCAACAAATTGGATAACCCAGGAGAGACAGATAAACTTAGAAAAATACAGCTTACCAACATAAGAATCAAGGAGAAATAGAAAGCTTGAATACACCGATAAAAAATAAGTGGACTGAAGAAATAATCAAAATTCTCCCAACAAAGAAAAACCCAGGCCAAATGATTTCACAGGAGAATTCTAGAAAACATCCAAACAGTTAATGCAACGTTTCTTAAACTCTGCTGAAAAATAGAGGTGTAGAGTATATACCTCCAGACAAATTTTATGATGCCATCATCATCTTTCTAAAGAAGATAAAAACATCAGAATAAAACATTTAGGCAGTTTCTTTGATGAACATTCATATTATTAGAAACAGTGTTTAAACAGCCCTAAAAAAAGTAGATCTTGACATTTTTCACAATATGGATAAAAGTGGGGATGTTATGCTAAATGCAATAAGCCAGGTACAGAAAAGCATATAGTCTGTTTTCCTAATGTCTTGAATCTATGAAAACAGTTGAATAAACAGAAATGAATAACAAAACAATGTTTACCAGGGATGGAACAATGAGGAAGTGGGATGTTAGAGAACAGAAAATAGCAAATATGTAGGATAAATTAGTCTAGAACTCTAATTTGTATCAGGAGGACTATAGTTAATAATATTATATTGTAATGTGGATTTTTAAAGTGGGTAGATTTTAGTTACTCTTGCCACAAAAAGATGAAAAGGGTAATTATGTAGAATCATGGCTACTTTAATTTACTTCATTATAGTAACCTATTTTCTGTCCATATGTATCCCATGAAAAACTATGTTAAATATAAACCATCTTAAATTTACCTTAAAATTAAATGTTGTATACCACAGAAACAAGCAAACTTCCTTGTGAATTGATTTTTTAAAAAATTATTTTGCGTGAACTGTTTAGCCATGGATATTTTAAGTCTTTTGTCATCCAAAGTTAGTTTTTATTTTACCATAGACATTCCATTAAAAACTCTTGCTTGTATTTAACATAAAGAGATTATCTCAGAAACTCATTATAAGTATTATTTTAGGTACTCAGTGACACAAGCTTCTGATGGCCTTGTTTAAATTAACTTGAGTCCATACTACCAGGGACTGAATAAAGAGTTCTTGATGAGTTCTTGAAATTAGTAATCTCAGATCAAGCAGGAGAGGAATCAATTACATGGAACTGAGTCAACTAATGAAGGCTCATTATAGCTTTACTTTGAAATATTTCAGATGTTTTGAAAAGTATTTTCTGGAGATGAGTAGCCTGTTTCTCATTTGCTTTGTGTAACTCTTAACAATCTAACAGATTTTACTTTTATAAATGGATAGGAACCTTTTCTGTTTTTGTCCCTGCCTGTGTCTTCCAGGATTTAAAAACACTGGAGTAATCTTATTTTAATGACAATATAATTATCTACATAGATTCAATACAAATCTCTCTTCCTTGTAATAGGACATAATATGAAACATTGGTTGAATAGCCAATGCTTTCACTGAGATGTCATAACAGAGAATGATGTGCATAGAATTAAATATGCCTACAGTTATAAAGAATAAGGTTGACTTTCTGGAGCCAATTCTTACACAACTGTTATATGAAAACTAACCTGATACCTGTCTTACAGTGTTCCCAGCCTTATACATGACTACAAAAAGGTCACTTCATGGTAGGCCAAAGAAAGCATATTTTGGAGAACTCATGAAGAACATATTTCATCGAAATCCATAGGTACTTCCACAGAAAACTAATGGTGAGTTTTTTGGCTTGGATTCTCATCTTGAGAGGTTTTTAAAAGTCCAGTCTGAGGCTTGTTATGAAAACTTTTAACAAAATAAACCTTTAAAATGCCTTTCCTAATTTCCACCTAAGGTAAATTAGCATTCCTTGCGGGGAGTGGAATTAAACCAAGGGCCTTCACACAACATTCCCCCCCCACCTCCTGGCCTATCTCCCCACACCATACCAATTCTCTCTCTCTCTTATTTTACAAAAGGCTTTCACTAAGTCGCAGAGTTACAAAGTTGCCTGGGCTGGGCTTGAATTTATGATCCTCCTGTGCTATTGTAAGTGGTATGTACCAACAACACTCCTGGATTTAGCTACCCTTTTTACTGCACTTATATAAATAATCAGACAACATCTAGGGAAGTTTGATTGTAGAGAAAATTTTACATTTCAGTTAAAAATAGAATAATTTTGTATTAGATTTTACTTTGTTCATTGTCTTTGAGTTATATGACACTTGATCATAAACTACATGTTAGCTTTTACTTTGTTTCCCTCCCTAGATTTTGTCATTTTGCAATTTTTTTCAGTTTATTTTCTGACTATAACTCTCCCAATTATGTTTTTTTTCTCCCACTTTCCTGACTTGGCATCACTGAAAACTAAAATCTAAATACCCAGATGTTTTAGAGCCTTTAAACTGTCTTCTACATCTTTCCTTCCTTCTTTCTCTGACTTATGGGATGTAAGTAATCCTCATGACCTAAAGCGGGATAACTTCATATAATCTTCAAATGGTTCGCTACCACAACAAATCATTTATGGGCAACTTTCATGCCCGGTTGTGCTGTTATGTGGGTCACTTAGGAAGTTAACTATAATTCTTGCAATCCTCCAAGTTTTACTTCAGAAAGTAACCATGACTGCACACAGTCTTAGCCAAATTTCTTTAATGTCTATGCTATTACCAAGAACAGTAAAATTGCAAACCGGAAAATTCATTACATTTCTACCATTTTTCTCATTTTGTTTAAGATGTTTTTGACCCAAAGTGCTATAAACCTCTGGACTGTCTGCCCTCTGGGCACACAAACTAGATTTATAGTTGTCCTAAGTAGTTATCATTGCTTATTTCATAAGAATATTTTTCATTAAATGGCCTGATGACTCCTACCATCCAGCACATACTCTGTACTCTCTAGTCTTAATAGTTCATGTGGTTCTTAATGAACAAAAGATGACCAAGTGAAAAGGATTTATATAGTTCACAACGAAGAATAATGTCTCTTCTTTCCGTTAATAAGACTGACAAGTACTCCCTCTAGTAAAGCTCCTTGCAGTTCTCTTATAGATCGGGATCCATACTTGGTCTGCTTCACTTAATTTTAGCAAGAATCTACCTGAGGAAGTTTATTGAGAGTTCCTCCATCCTTGATCTCCAGTCAAGTATCCCCCTCTCATTGATACATAACCGTGATCTTGTTAGTAATTCTCTATCCTTTCCTTCACCCTGCCTGTTGGCTATTTATCCAGAAGTATTGCTGTTATATTGGAACTTCCTCTTGTATTGCAATAGTTTTTCCCATTAATTTTATTGGTACAGTTTACATATACAATACAGTTACATTCATCATTGAGAACTTGTGCCCTTACATGATGTATCTTGGTTATTTTTTCCCCATTCCCCTGCCCTCCCTTAAACCCCTCCAACTTACAGAGACTTTGTTGACATTTTTTCCTTTTGTCCTATTTTTCCTTGCCCTTCTTTCTTTTCCCCTACCCCTTTAGACCTATTGCAATAATTTGTGTATATTTTATGTTTACAACATATTATGGAATAATATAATAATTATTATAGTGAAGCTAACATATTCATCATCTCACATTATTTTTGTGACAAAACAGCTTAAAAATCCCTAATATGATATTGTTGCATTAATTATAGTCCTGGTGTTGTAAATTAGTTCACTAGGTTTTTCATCTTCATTTCATCTACTTTGTATTTTCTGTGCTTCAACTCCACATTTTCTTCCTCTCTTTGGTAATCACTGTTTTACTCTTTATCTCTGTATATTTTCATTTTTTGGTAAATTCACCATATAAGTAAGATTAAATCAGTGATACCCACTCTTGCCATTTACAGTCTATCTAGTATTGGAAATATCAACAAGATCAGACAAGAAAAAGAAAACATAGCAAAATTGGAAGAGAAGAGTTGAAAATACCCTATCTGCAGATGGCATAATCCTATATGAAGAAAATTACAAAAACTTCACAAGAAACTATTAGAATGAATAAATGAATTGAGCACAACTAAAAAATTCAAAATATTTACACAAAAATCAATACAATTTATGTAAACAAATAACAATCTAGTTGAAAAAATCAAGAAAGCAATCCTATTTGTGATCATATCAAAAGCAAAACAAGAATAAGCTTTTAAAAAGAATAAGTTAAGGGTTCCTTTCTCCACACAACCCCGCCAACATAGGAAAATGGATACATATTGAGGATATACTCCTAAGTGAAATAAATAAGTCACACATGTATAAATACCGAATAGCTTCTCTGGTGTGAAAAGCTGTAATAGTACATAAGATCCTAAAGAGATAATTGACCATATGAAATAGGAAGAAAAGGGCTAACGGTGTAGGGAAAATGGGAAGGGTAGGGGAAGGGTAATAAGAGAAAAGAAAAAAATATGAGAAAATTTAAAAAATGGAAACGAAGTGTTTGTAAATGGGGAGGAGAGGAGGGGGGTAAAGGGAGGGCACAGACAAGGGGGAAAAATGAGAACCAAGACCTGTCATGTAAAGGTACAAGATCCCAGTAATGAATGTAATTGTACTGTATACCTAAAATGAACCAATAAATGGAATAAAAGAAAAAAAGAATAAATTAAGCCAAGTAATGATAGATTTTTCCGTGGAAAATTACTAAATCGTTGAAATAATTTGAAAAATCAAATAAACAGGAAGACATCCCATATTCATGGATTAGAAATATTGTTGATTTGTCCCTACTACCCAAAATAATATAGAGACTCAGCATAATTACAAGTTCAATCTCAGTCCCAATGTTATTCTTCAAACAAAGAAGAAAAGAACCCTAAAGTTTCTGTGTAAACAAAAAAACCCAAGTACCAAACTAAACTAGAGAAACCTAAAGGAAAAGGCAGTAAGAAAGATTGAGATGGAAGACCACTTTTGGCCAAAAGTCTCCCTTATAAAGTGACTCAGGAGGCATTAAAAGAAGTGTTTGAAGATGCCATAGAGATCAGCCTATTCAGCAAGGATGGGAAGAATAAAGGAATTGCTTCTATTGAATTTAAGACAGAAACTGATTCAGAGAAAACCTTTGAAGAAAAGCAGGGAATAGAGATTGATGGATGATCTGTTTCCCTCTAATACACTGGAAAGAAAGGTCAGATGAAAACTATAGAGGTAAAAAGAATAACACTTGGAGTAGTTGATCAAAAATTGATTTTAAGCAATCTCTCCTCTAGTTGCAATGGAAGAAACTCTTAGGTAGTATTGAGAAGGCAACTTCTATCCAAGTGCCCCAGAACTAAAATGGCAAATCTAAAGGGCACACATTTATACAATTTTCTTTATTTGAAGATGCTAAAGAAGCTTTTAGTTCCTGTAATAAAAAGGAAATTGAAGGCAGAATGATCACACTGAAGCTTCAAGGACCAAGGGGTCAGTCACCTCATGCAAGAAGACAGCCATTCAAAACCCTGTTTGTTAAAGGTTTGAGGAAACTACCAAAGGGACCTTTTAAAGGAGTCATTTAATGGAATTATTGGAGCAAGCATAGTCAGTGACTTGGGTCCTCCAAGAGTTTTGGTTTTATAGACTTCACGAGTGAGGAAGATGCCAGGGCCACCAAGACCTCCATAGAGGCCATGGAAGATGGTAAAATTGGCAGAAACAAAGTTACCTTGCACTGGGCCAAATCTAAGAGTGAAGGTGGTTTCATATGCCAAGGTGGATTTGGCAGAAAAAGTGGGAAGGCTTAGGAAGGCAAGGAGTCAGGGGAGGAGGAGGAGACCACAAGTCACAAAGGAAGAAGATAAAGTATAAATACTCTTTTCTGTACTTGTCTTTACCTGTACCACTGGAAAGAAAGAACTCTGGGGTTTTACTCTTACCTGTTTGATGATAGAGCCTCCTGAGAACATTCCAAATCAGTGTGCATCCTTTGGTCTACTTGAAAAGCATAGACATGACATTTCAGAAGAGATATTACCCTGTTGGTTTTGACTGGAGATTAATAAACTTTTTAAAGAGATGAGTGATACAGCTAACCCTTATGTGTAACTTTGGAATTTATATTGTTTCATCCCATGTACAAAACCATTTTTCCTACAAAAGATTATATTGCAAAGGTATAGCAATTAATAATATAGTAATAGAAACAATAAAGACAGAAACAGACTAATGGAACAGAACACAGAGCACAGAAAAAAATCCAAACATATATAAACAACTGATTATTGAAAGGTACATTAAAAAGTACAACACAATATCCTTGAACAAAGTCTTAACTATTTTTAGCAAGTGCGAGAAAAACTATTATATGCCTTAGATCTTGCCCAAAACAACATTACATATTTTCCTAGATGATAGTTTTATGTTTTACATTTAAATTGATGATTTATTTTATTTCAATTTTTTTTCAGCTTTAATTGAGTTTATTGGTACATTTTAGGGATACAGTACAGTTACATTCATTGTTGGGATCTTGATTCTCATTTTTTCCCCTTACCTCTGCCCTCCCTTCACCCCCTCCTCCCCTCCCCATCTACAAACACTTTATTTTCATCTTTTCATTCTCTCACATTTTTTCTTTTCC